TTGTCGCACGAAGAAATCACTTACATTGGGAGAAGCAACGAGGCCAATCAGCTTCTAGCATCCGCGAATCCTTTGGCGTGCACGCACACACACGCACGCACACAAACAAGGAAGGGATCACACGTTTTAATAAGCACGTTCCATCAACCACACGATCACATACTTTCTCCTCCGGCGACCTCTCGCATCTGTCACCCCAACAGCGAACCACCCTTTTTCCTCGCTCTCTCTCGCGATGCACGCTCACCGAAAACAACACCATCAGCTGGGAGGACGACGGGTCTCGTAAGTAGCGGGTAGCGGCACTGTACCCATCCCGGATTGATCCTGATGGGAAACACAACGGCTGGTGGGCAACACGCGTTGTGGACCGCACGGAATTGATTCTGTCGCAACGCAAGATCCCGCACTCTCGAATCCAGCACGTCTCTCTCTCTCTCTCTCTCGTATCTCGTCCCACGACGACAATCGATAAAAGTCGCCTCTCTTTCTCTCTCCCTCTTCCCCTATCCTTCTCTCCAATATTCTCTCCCTTTATCCCGCCATCTCTCCTCTTCGCGGATCTTGCTTATTCTCTCTCTCTCTCTCTCTCTCTTCAAGTATACTCCGCGGAAAGTGTCGAGAACGATTATCCCCCGTGGAAGATCCGTGGTCTCGCGGCTGTGGGCAGATATTCGAGCAACAGAGTAGCGCGGCTCGCGGCGCGTCTCCTCTTTGCGCGTACACGCGTGGACCGAGCACACCGTGGTGGTTCAGCAACCATCGATCGATGATACGTTCATCAGGATTCACCTTGGGCGCATATTCGTTCGTGCACTCGCTTCACTCGCTCGCGTCTCGTCTCGTCTCGTTCTGCTCGCGATCTGATGCGCTACAACAACAACGGCGGCGTCGCGGCGTCTGTGCTCTGGGGCCGGCTCGTTCAATGTGTGTCGTGCGGGTATATTTGGAGAGGCGTACCGCGAAAAAATAGTTCGCCCCCTGGAACGAAACTAGGAGGAGGGAAGATGGAGGCGCCAGGTCGTGGTAGGGTAGATGATGAACGGTTAGGAAACGGAGAGGAGATTCGTGGAAGAGGTGGATGGAGGGAGGGAGGAATGGAGGAACGCGATTGAAACGCGGAGGAAAAGATGCGAGGGAGAAAAGTAATGGAGGATGAGAGAGGCTGATTATAGGGAGAGTAAAGAAGGGGAAGATCGAGAAGAGAGGACGGGAGATGGACGTAGATGAGGATGAAGGGTGGTAAGAGAAGTTGCGGGCTACGCGTTCCAGCGTTGGGTGAAGAGAGACGAAATGGAGGGATATGAGGGAGCATGCTCTCTTATTGACAAAGGGCAGGGACTCCGCCCCTGTCGAGAGTTGGACTCACGTCTGCGCCTCTTTTCTGCCAAAACGATCCACGCGCTCCGACCGTGGTCCCTGGACTCGAATCACTGGATCGAATATTTTCTTTCGAACCTTAAGAAACTCTTTTCTTGTCGCGCGTGCAACGATAGAAAAATACGACGGGAAATTGTTTTCGAAATTATATTCTACAATTGGAAAAAATATTATTGCTTTAAAAAATATTTTATTCGATCAAATTAATAGATTAATATATATATATATATATATAATATATAAATTAGGAAAAGTAACATGCTAAATCTTTCTTATATACTTTACTTTATGAAACTCATCTTCGTAATATTTTTATATTTTTAAATATTAGCCTCTCATTCATAAAAATTTCAACATATTCCATCTATCTTGAATAGTTTCGCTTTATCTGTTTCTTATCTCTTTGCATAAAAAGCGTTATGAAAAACATTCAAACATTGTTTATGCATTTCAATCTATATTTATATATAGCTTATATACACTCTTATTATATGATTAATCTCAATAGAGTTTACATAATTCTCGTATCATTGAAAAGTTTCAAGTTCCATGCTGTGATAATTACTGTGAACGTTCGTGACGTATAGCTCATTATCGTATATTGCCACGGATAACCATATGCCGCGTATGGTTGTTTCACATTGATATCTCGATAATTCTCTTCCGTTATATCCATAGCCAGTAGAAGCGTTAAAGGGATATTAGCTTCGAGCTGTTTTACGTTTTCAATCGTGTGTAACCAGCGATTTATACTTAAAGGAAAAAAAGGGGAGGGGAAAAAAGTAATAATTTCTGCTACGCTAAATCGTGACGCGTGTTTTGCATCCCTGTGGAAAATGTCATTTGCTTTGCTTCGTGAAATTATCACAAAAAGCAGAAAGAGTCGATGATTTTACGCGGACGTTTAATTTTGTTTTTTTTTTTTTTTTTTTTTGCGTTTATTTGCGAGAGCATATTTATCTATAACGCTTACCAAGACGTATGTATCGGTTTATGGAACGTGTTATTGCAATTGAAACAAGAAATTCTTTGTATCTATACGAAATAAATAAAGGAGTTTGCGTTAAATTAAATTATTGGATATATCAATATTAACAAATAGATTTCTATTGCACAAACGAATAATGTTGAGTTGATTTGAAAATTTCTATTTACAATTATCCTTGTTTTACTATCAAGTATCATTAATTTAATCGTACTAGAAGAATTGTGATTTGTTTTTCTATTTATAGAGATATTTTAAATTTAATCATTAATGTTGATACCGTTCGTTATCCGATGAGATGTACTTTGAAACAATAAAAAATATAGTAATGGCGCAATAATAAGTACCGATAATTGAATTGATGCATATCACATCGATACAAAGTTTTTTAAAACTTCGTTTCCTTTGTGCAATTGTTAAACCAATATTTCACTCGCCTCTTTCCCCTAAAATAAATTTTATTAATTCAAATATAATATAAAATTTCCACATTCTAATTTACGTACCATAACAAATTCAATTTCGAAATTATAACGCGTACAAATACAAACATATACACGCTATTCCACAATATTTCGTTCCACAAAAAACTCAGACGCACAACGCGTGTCAATTATTGCACGCATATTCGATGGAGAAAAAAAAAAAAAGAAGATGAACGCGCGTATTCCCTCGACGCGTGAAATTTAAATTCTATTTAACATTCGCGGGGGGAGGGGGGAGGAACCGCGATATTTTTCGAACGTTGATTTTCGCTTCGTGTGAAAAATGATTCATTCTTCCCTTTTCCACTCACTTACTTATCTCGCTCTCTCACGCCTTTTGTATCTCACGCCTTCGCGAAACGATCGCGTACGTAACACGGTTCACGTCATTTACATAATCGAAGGGAAGGAAAAGTGGGAATGGAACGAAACGAAACGAAACGAAACGGAGGGAAATGCAATCGGTGTGATTACGAGGCAAGATTGATTTTTTCCCCTAGGCACGGCCTCGAGGAGAGAGAGAGAGAGAGAGAGAGAGAGAG